GTGTATGTGTGTGTGTGTCTGTCTGTGTGTGTGTGTCTGTCTGTGTGTGTGTGTGTGTGTGTGTGTCTGTCTGTCTGTGTGTGTCTGTCTGTCTGTCTGTCTGTCTGTCTGTCTGTCTGTCTGTGTGTGTCTATGTGTGTATGTGTGTGTATATGTGTGTGTATGTGTTTGTGTGTCTGTCTGTGTGTCTGCGTGTGTGTCCATGTGTGTTTGAGTGTGAAAATGTACGTGTTGCCTTTCAGACTTCCTTCTGCCTGCACCTGTGTCCACACGTGTGATCGTGTCACCGCTGCTTGTCCAACCGCAAATCTCACAACTCCAATACCATCGCCCTCACCCTCCCCCATAATCGTCCCAACACCGTGATCACGACCAGTTGTGCGGCGGCTGATGGGTGGCGGCGGGTACGGCCTTGCGCTGCTGTTCATGCTCCTCTTCCTCAGCACGAGTCTCGATTGGGCCCGCCTCAAGGCATTCTGGCTCACAATGGCGCTGGGATCATCAGCCATCACCGCAGCAGGTGTGTGTCTGTCTGTCTGTGTCTGTCTGTCTGTGTCTGTCTGTGTCTGTCTGTCTGTCTGTCTGTCTGTCTGTCTGTCTGTCTTTGGTGGTACCTCCCTTCACCTGCCCTCCCCCCTTCCACCTCCTTTTCCTTCATAGGCCACGAGGCGAACAAGCTTGACGTGGCACCGCCGGAACTCACGGGATTCTTGCAGGGCCTCTCAAACACCCTCGCAGCCTTTGGCGGCGTCGTTGGTGCGTGGGCATGTGTATGTGTATGTTTCTGTACATATGTGGTTTTGTGTGTGGTTTTGCTTTGCGGCCGCCTCTATCTCTGTCTCATGACAAGCACACATACATACGCACACACTTGTTTCGCTGCCGCTCCTAGGCGTTCCACTGGCTGCGCGGCTGTACGAGCGCTACCATACGTGGGGGAGCGTGTTTGGGATGCTTGCATGCATCTATGCAATCGGCGCCATCACAGCCGTTCTCTTCGCTCGCGCGGACCGAATCCCACTTGCCCAACTCTTGTAGCAGGGACAAGGTGCACGCACTTTGTGTGTGTGTGTGTGTGTGTGTGTGTGTGTGTGTGTGTGTGTGTGTGTGTGTGTGTGTGTGTGTGTGTGTGTGTGTGTGTGTGTGTGTGTGTGTGTGTGTGGCTGTCTGTCTGTGTGTGTGTGTGTGTATGTCTGTCTGTCTGTCTGTCTGTCTGTCTGTCTGTGTGTCTGTGTGCCTGTCTATCTGTGTGCATGTCCTGGCCCTTGCTCTCCCTCCCTCTCCCCTGTTTTCTCTTCTTCTTTCTCTCCTCCCTTCTCTCGCTCGTGTTATGCTAACCAGCGCCGTTCATTCATATGTGTACATAACCACTAAACAACGAACAACAAGAGAAGATGCAAGCAAAGGAAGCATGTGCAAGTATGTGTGTGTGTGTGTGTGCCTGTGTGATGGTGTGCATGTGTGTGTGTGTGTGCCTGGGAATATGCAACGCGACGCCAGTGCGCATCGTCACTCCTCGATGGATTCGACCTCGCGGGCAGATCGGATGAGACCACGTTCCTTCTTCCCCTTCTTCTCCTTCTTCTTCTTCCCGGCCTTGCCCTGCGGTGCGTTCTTGCTCATCATCGCAGCGTGTGTGCGCCAAGTTTTGCTCGCGGCGGCGCTGGTGGTGAAGACGATGGTGGTG